TTATATTACAAAAACATATTGCTAAATTTTGGAGTGCAGTGGTAATGAACTGTTAAGACATCTGCTATGGCATGGTTCAATTGTCGGTAAGAATAAATAAATAAATAAATAACGCACACACTCAACATAGCCCCGCACTAGGGAAACCCTGTGTCGCGGGTGCCATGGACACACACATAGACAATCACAAATTACACCCAAACTCACGAGAGAAATAATGGTAGGCCATACAACTATTTCTCTCGGCCCGGGAATCGAACCTGGGACCTCTGCGTGGTAGTCCGGCATGGTAACCGTTCAGCCACGGAGGCAGTTAGAATGGAATAATAGTTACGGTTCCAATTTGTTAATCATTATTCGTTCAGTACTTATTTATTTCTTTAGGGTAAGGGTGCTGGTGAAATTACTGGCACACGGGACTTGTCAACTTGTGTCTCAGGGTGACAGGCGCAGTGGCGGTGTCCCTCAGATCTTTGCGATTTAAAACTCTGAGTGGTAATGCAACTGATATGGATAGTTTACCATCAGGCGCACGACTTGTTCGTCCTATCTTCACTTGTTATTATAAAAAAAAATCACTGGCTCACTGATCCGGTTTTTGGTCTCCGACACCAAAGTACGTCTTATCTTTCAGTTTTGTACCAATTCCGACCATTCGGGCACATTTAGCTCCTTCAGTTTTTCAGCGACTCCAACCTTTCAGCGATATTTCAGACGGTTCAATGGACGATGCCCGGTAGGTTATTCCAAATGCGCTCTTTCGGCAGCTTGATCCTCTCACATTATTTCCACGAGCCTAACAAGCTCATTCGTTAAGAAGTGTAGTGATTAATAATTAATATCTTAGCTGCTAACATTGAAGATTTTAACCGCTACTCGCTCCGCTATAATATTTACATTGTGCTCCAATCGCTGTCTGGATGCACCGCATTAGGTGAAGTTGCCCGAAGTAATTTCTGTTTCGTTTCAGCTCATAGGGTGCATTGTTGCCGAATATGAGCAAGCTGTGCTACTGTTTATTATTATACTGTGGTTATTATATTCTATTGTTATTATTGTGGTGAGGACGTGTAAGGAAAATGTTGTAGTCTTCAAACTCCAGTAGTTTTAGTTGCATGAAGGAAAGTGCTTACATTTTATATTGTGGTTCAACCCTAATGACTATAACGAATAAAATAAAAAAATATTGTAGCAGTAGTAGAGCTTCTTGTGAAAGATTTCGTCTTGGTAAGTACTACAATCTTACCTATTTAAGCCGCCAATTAGTAGTGTGAGCATTACTGCGTTCCGTGCTGGAGGAATTACAGACATATGGGATTTGTCCACTTTCGGATCTCACAGTGGCATTGCCCGTAAGATCTTTGTGATTACAAGCTCTGAGTGTCCTGCAACTATTATGGATAGGCGTGTCGTTTACCACCGGGCGCACGACTTGTTCGTCCCGTCGGCTTGGAATTATAAATAAAAATTACTATGAAAGATTGTGTAATACCACTGAAATGTTTATGTTAGAGTTAACAAATACATCTGAGCATAAAATGAAATACGTCATAAAAAATAACACACCACGAGTTTAAACCAACTACAAAGAAATAAACGCGTCAGTACCGAAAACAGTTCAACCAAGGTTAACTCCAAACTCGCGACGAGGCAACATCTTTCAAACATTTCCGCTAAATATTACGTCTCGATTATACACTTCGATTGCACCTGAAGTATAAGTCGCTTCAAAGTGATTTACTCGGAAACTGAACAACGCAAAACTTGAAATTAAAACCTCTAAGCTTTGTGAACAAACATTCGACAAAGAAAGGCTTTCTATTTTAGGATCTCATAAATGTGTGAATACCCGAAGAGGAATGTATTTCTAATTATCTGTCGATCATTAAGAAGTTCTTCAGCTGTGAGTTATCCAAGGACTCGGCTTTTCAACATACATTCCATAGTCTTACAGAGTCTGACATTGATTGCAATAAGTCGAAAATTATAGATGCTGTGGTAGTCTAATGGTTTAACTACGTCGCGCGTGCTCGCACCTCTGAGTTTTCGGATTTTATGTGCGAAATTTAATTTGAAATTTGCCATGAGCTTTTCGGTGAAGGAAACAACGTGTTGAAACCTGCAAGTCGAAGAAGGTTCACTAGTCTCAGAGAATGTGTGAAGTCCCTAATACGCATTGGCTCAGTGTGGCGGACTATGGCCTGAGACCCATGCTCAGCAGTGCGACGTAGCCACAACAAAGCAGTCTGTAGTGTTCGCAATGTAACGTCAAGACGGGAATTGTAAGTGAAGGCAGAAAAGTGTGAGTTAGCGAGCCGTTGGATCTCATCAATGGCAATAGGAATGACTTGTAAATATTTGCCTCAACTGATTTAACGAATGACCAGAAGCTTTACTCCCAGAAGAGAATGAAATTAGCCTGGGAGTCTACTCTCGATCTCCGTCCAACATCCGTCCGAAACAATTACTGCCAAATAAGCAATACTTGACCAAATGAAAAGACGCGTGATGCTAATGAAGCTTCATACTGGATACTTGTCTTTTAATTTTGTCGGATATTACTTTTTTGACAGTAATTGTTTCGGACGGATGTTGGACGGAGATCGAGAGTATCCCCCTTGGCTCGGACGCGTCTAATATAGTCGAAGCGAGTTTTCCGCACCGCCTTCGAGCAGAATGTATCGGCTTTATTAAAGACTTTCTTCAGACGGTGATGGTAATTTTCCGCAGACGCAGATTGATTTGGGTATTTCCGCAATAGCTTCCTCGGAGCTAAACTAAGAGAGTACGTTGCCGTCGATGGAAATATGGGAACTAAACTGTTTTCTTGTAGATAACTCTAAACAATACATGAATTTGGATAAATTTAAAGATGTTAGAGGCTAAGTCATGGGATTCTGAACGTTGGCAAAGAGTTCCAATGTGCAGCTCCTATAAGGAATAATAAACCATCCCTGGTTGACTTGGTACTACGTACTCTGGCGTTATCAAGTAGAAGCAACGGAACTCAAATCTTTATTTCATAGGTAAGCAAATTATACTTGAAATCGTCATATTGATTAAACTCTATTGCTCATTCATAAGGCAGATTGCTCTGAGAAGAATGAGTAAGAAATTGTAGGGGTTGCTCTTTGTAAATATACATTTGAATAAATTTATCATTTACAATATTTAATTTAGCAAGAGCTAAATAGGTCGCTATTATATGTTATTGTCATCCAAGTACGCAGAAGCTGTATAATTTTATCTTTACCTAACTAACCTTTAGTATAATTTTGTTTCACTATAGTTTTAAACCTAGAAAGATACTGGATTGTATGCTGGAAAGGACTGGAAGAAATCGAAGGATACTGGTTGACTACCTCTGATTCTTTATCTGCGAGTCTTGCTATCGTAGTCGGCATTCTTCACAATAGCGACCAGCCTTCATGGTTACACAGCGTCAAGAACACATCAAGTTAGACACTTAATATTTAAATTAAACCATACATCGCTTGTAATAAAAACGGTTCAAAGTTCAAAGTGTCAAACACGGCGTGATCTAGATTGTACCATGTCTTAGGAAACTCTTAACACTTAAAACTCCGTAACTGATCCTCCACACTGTTACCAACAATTTTCTACAGGTACTTTTTATTCGATCATTGAAGAGCTCTGTGCCTATCGCTTGGGATTATCATAAAAATCGATCAAAAATTTTTTTTTTTTTTTTTAATTTATTGAGGAACAAACAGTTTTACATATTTAAAAATATACATACTTAAAATTAACATATTACTAAACCTACAGTTCCCTAAATATGCATATAAAACAAAAAAGTATACGGTATACTGACACTTATAAACGTAAGTTTTATAAACGTTAAAAAAAACAAAGTAAAATGAACGCAACACCACCCGTATCCCTCAAACTATGCAACGAACGCACATTTTCTAAGTTTGCTGGATGACAGGCACCGGTTGGTTACGTTCGGGAGCGAGCGGTCGTGAAAAATTTCATCAAATCAAATCAAATAATTTATTTATCACACACTAATACGAAACAGAACATATAACAATACTAGCGGAACAACAACAGTGCGTGGAAGGAACAGGCTCAGTTAAATCTCTGTGGCTGTGTGCCACGCGCTACTGATTTTCAGCCTGGCCTTGTTGAAAAAATTGTTTTTAAAATAACTAGTTCAATAACACCACAGTCGCTTACGATAGCTCGCTTTGATCGCGCATCGTAGTTTGGGCATTTCGTTTGGTATTCCTTTTTCTAGATGTCTCATTTTATCATTTGGTGCAAATGGATTAGCATTTTGGATAGTATATAAGCTTCTTATCCGAATTGGTTATTGCAAATATGGTAATATTCGATCCAAGATTTGATACTCCTGAACGTTTCCAAAATTTTAGACGCAACTTGAGATTGGATGAAGGTGTCAGAAACTTCGTACAATGTTGTACTAATGTTGCTTAAGAGACATTGTACTCACACCGTACAAGTTTCAAACTTTGGCATAGATATTTAGACGCGCGGAGGAAAGTCACAAGAATGTCTATTATGCTTTGTACAAAGTTAATTACATGGTGGTGCTTATATCAACGTTTTGCCTAATATACGGGTTTAAAAAAGTATGTATGAGAATTCATGGAGTGATTCTATTCAGGATACTGAACATATTCTCAATAGAATTTCGTTCTTCCAGATATAAACAAGAGCGGTTACAGACGACAACTTTTAGCAGCGATGCAAATGTGTATTTGTGAAACGTGCAATTGCATCGCGACTTTAACGATTTACTGGCAGTTGCCAATGCATCAATATGCAGTAGCGCGTTTGCACCGCGATTGTATCACTGCAGCTGCGACTGCATCACGTTTGTGTCGCGATTGCATCGCGTTTGCATCAAACACATTTTTACATTTCCCATACAAAACGGGACGTTCAATTTGTAGTGAGTTTAAAGGCCATGAAAGAATAATATGTTACGTTGAGCTGATAATAGAACTTACCGAAAATAGTCATAGGCTTCGTTCGTTCATCTTCGGCGAGGAAAGTAGAAATGACACAGGTGTAGTTGCCGGTGAGTTCTGTTCCTGGAGACAGGATACGCAATGCACGATGTTGTGTGTATGGGTTGCGGGATACTTTATAAGTTAGATCCAACTGAAAATTATATTATTATAATGAATATAATGTATGTTATGAAAGATTTTTACTAAGATTAGTGAAAATTACATCAAGTAAATCGTATCCAGTAACAACAAAATTGCATGGTCTAATTGAAATGGAATTATGTTCATAAAACGGGTAGTTTCTTTGTTATATTTATGTCTTCAAATATTTATAAACTTCTATGTTACTCCCTAAAAGGCGACTTCCTACAGTCCGTGATTTTAGCGATTAGCTCGCATGGCTTGCACCCTCGCACTAAGAGACGCTTGTCCGTGGTAATGCAGATGCGTCCTTAGCGGTGCAAGGATCAATCCATAGCGAAAAATAGATGGGGTCGGTGTGTGGCTATGTGGCTCTCCATAGTCATCGGCTGTGTGAGGAAATCTGTAAAATCACGGACCGTGCGCCCCCGCCTTAAAGTGTTTACGTTATATAATTTATTATACAATAAAATTTTTGTCGTAAATTTACCTATTTAGAATAATAGCATAAATTTATTTAAAATAGGATTTAACAGACTGTAAAATATTTGTACATTACATTTAGGATGTTTCATATTAGGTCTACAAAATATTATATTCATAACAAAATGTGTCTTACCTTATTCTTCAACAATCCCAACGCCTGTGGCTTCTGTGGTGGTATCCATTGGTACACAGGTTTGCCATGCTTGCATTCAGAGCATGAGTTGTCCGCATAGAACCACTTTATTACCAATCCAGTGACATTGCCTGTCACGAATTCACAGTCCATTGTCACTGCATCTCTTGAACCGTATTGTACTACTTCTGGCACCCGCATATTGACTATCCTTACTGAGTTCACACCTGAATAGAGATTAATAGTGAAATTAGTGCTTCGTAATGGTATAAGTTACTTTTTTTAAAGATGTGTTTATTCAGTGATGATTATTTTTGGTTAACGTGACATCACATAGTTATATTTTACGTAATATAAGAGTATCGCTGTATAATGGTAGTGTTTAGTGATTATTGACTAAGAAGCCAATGAGAATTGGACCACATGAACAGAAATATCATTTGAAATTAATTCCGGTAAACTGCAACGACCTGAGACCACTTATTGTATATTCTATAATGTTTTTGAATAACAAGAATGGTCCCAATTGAATTTTATCTGTAAAATAAAAAAGAAATTAACCCCTTTTATGAGAACAATTGCCATTATTAGTGATAAATTACTGTCAGAATAAGCTTCAAAATTGCATGAATTGACACAGCTACTCTATTGTATGTAGAATCCATTTAAATAAATAAA